GGGGTACCTGTGATCGTGACGGGTGGTGAAGGCGCCCCAGGAGTGCCAGGACACGGCGTTTTCGACCCTCTGAAAATCCGACTGCACAACGGGCAATTTGCCAAGGCTTCAGCACCCTGACGGGTTAAGGCGAAGGGCTGTGCCGCTACCCTTTCGCAACGCAATCACAGTGATATGTAAATAGCGCTGCTGCGGGGAAGGCAGGGCACGCTCCTTTTCCAAGGGGAACGGTGGCTTTTGCAGTCGGTCCCATTCTCCGGATGTCAGCAGTTCTGTGAAATTACAGTTTACGTGACAGAGGTCAAGGTGACCTGTTTGTTGTGGGTTTTACCAGTGTAGCAACAACCGGATGACGTATTCTTAACGTTTTAAGGACTGTATCATCCTTTTCAGGGCGAACACAGAGATTGGGTGCATAGTAAAGTGTCCCACATGCGTCTGATAAATACAGCAACCATCTTCATAGATGTGGTCTGGTTGCCGTAGACGGTACAGCTTTTAAAAAAAGTTAAAACTAGATTTTTTTAGCAAAAGAAAAGTTTTATTCTACAAGTGCTTGTTTTTTTTTTTTTTTCTAGAACTGTCCTCATTTTATATGGAAAAAGATGATGAGGCTTTGTTCATCGTTTATGAGAAGACAAATTGGTGAAATGCATTCAGGAAGAAAAATTGCTATTTTTCTAATGGCCCCATTATTGGAAGGTTCACTCTGCAACATGCTAGTGCAATCTGCACTGCTCCAGAACAGGGAGTCTCTAAAATTTTACCCATGCAGTCTGTTTGCTGGTTCAAATGATCTGCTTTTTCAAGTGGTTTTAAGTAATGCCTCGCTGATTGAATTATAATTTTCCTGACTTCGCAACTGCCAAGAATGTCCTTGGCAAAACATACATACAATGTGTTTCATCCAATTTTGAAATGTATTTTGTAATCGAAATAATAAAAGTTAATATTCATCAGTTCCTCCCACCATAGTTTCAACGATTCATCTGTTTTCATTGTCATGCTTTTCTTTCTTTTTTTAGTGTTCTTGTGTTCTTTTTTCCTTTCCTTTGTTTTCATCCTCCTTATCCCTAAGTCACCCTCATTTTTATACCTTCCATTTGTTTGCTTTTTATTTTGTTCTTTCGTGTGCCTTTACTTTTTGGAAACTTCCTTACAAAGTTTGAGCATTTAAGATAGTTAAGAATTAACTTTTTTACTTTTAATCTGGAGATTCTGTTTCTGCTTCATATGCTCATAAGATACCCCAGTACAGTTCTGGACACTAAAGACTGCTAAAGATTATTTTTTTTAATACTGAAAAACAGGTTTCTGTGTTTTCGTTAATATATAGCTGTGGGTGATGTCTTGTTCTTAGTCAAGTTTCCCTTGCTGAAAGACTTTCTAATCATTTAGGGGGGCTTTATGCTTTCACAAGAAAACAAAACCAGACAAACAAAAAAAAAAAAGTTATGCTGTTCTAAGGCTGTCATAAAACTATAAGTTAGTTGTTAGGTGTTGTAAAAATGGAGTTGTGTTCAGTTACACAGGTAGAAATTAACTAGTTTTCAATATATTACATGGGAAGGTAATGGGTTTCTTGTAGCTGCAGAACTGTCTTCTGAGTGCTTCTAAAGGTTGGTTTGGTTGGTTTGCAGCAAAGACTGCACTGTAGATTCACCCCTCCTGTAACATTGCCTGCCATTTTTCAGCCTGTGAATGGTTTCTTTTAAAATTTGATTAGTTGTTTTTATGTTTAGAAAAAGAAGAAGTACCTGGCAAGTGCCCATGTTTTTTCTTTGCTCATGTTTTAACAAATAAAGGTCTTTATAATATGGGAGGTTCTTGTTTCATGCTATTTCTTCCAGCATACATAAACAAACCTTGTGGGATACCATAAAACTATCTGTAGCATATGCCCAGTAGAGCCATTTATGTTTATGGTATGCATGGAAAAGTTTTGTGTGCAGTAATACTGTCAAAGTCAAGTCCATCCACATGTTTTTTAGATGATACTTTCTAAATTGCCCAAAGGATATCTAATGAAATATGTAATATCTTATGTCAAAGCACTCTGTACTAATAGCTACATAACATTCATTTTGTCTGTGCCTAGTATGAATAATATAAAAATCCCAGCAGAGTAAGAATCTGCATCAGATGAAATCATCAGTACTGTCAAGAGTCTGGGGAAAGATGGTAATGTACACCTGAGAACTGTATTGTGTCCTGAATCAAACCTCTGCACAGTGATCTCCTCTGCATGACAGATGTGGTCTGTCACGAGGAAGAGCTGGAAGTGTGGATGAGTGGGAAAAATGAGGATTCATGGTTTTGCTGTGTAGACTCAGTGGTCCACAAAGATGCAGGCAGGGCTAATGGGTT